CCGCCTAGGGCCGTCCTTGCCATGTTGGCGGGAGAATCTGGCTTAGGCATCGCCTGATTTCCTTCCTCTTCCAGCAGCTGGTCTGGATGCCCCCTTTCACTCAAGAAAATGCAGAGGCACCTGGTCCTCCAGCTCCTTCAGGAGATCTGCATGTCAGCGCAGGGCCAGGAGGTTCCCGGGAAAAGCATCCAGAGGTCAGGAGAGTTTGTATTTCCAGTGTGTCCCCCACCACCCTAGTCTCTGGCCGCCCCCATTTAGAGCACTGCCTTCTCTGTCTAGGCAGTAATGTGTCTGCTTTTTTTCCTCTTGCTCCAAATGCACTTTGACATTTTTTAACAAATAACACAATTTTCCCTTTGTGTTTCCCTTAATAAAACACAGAAATGAGAGCAAGAAAAGGAAAGTAAAAAAACATGTTCCTGTCATCTCCACTCTGTAGCAGGATGTCCTTCTCCCTCGCCTTCTGCCTCCCTCCCACCAACCATGGGTCTCCAGTCTCCGGCTCACTGTTCCATCCCCACCCCTCTCCCCTAGCCTGACAGTGTTACTTCCCTGTTTTGTTTTGTTTCGTTTTGTTTTGTTTTGTTTTGTTTTTTGGTTATTTTTGCCACAGGGAAGAGGGTAGCTCCCTAGCTGGTCTGCTTGTCTCATCTGCATCTTCTGCAGATTGCTTCTTGACTGAAGCCATGTGATAGGAGAGAACTTGAACCGGGTCAGGACAACTTCCACTTGAAGAAGTACCCCAAGGTTCCTCTTGGGTGTGCAGCAACCTCGGAGTAACCCCATGGTTACTCTTCAGTCATTGGCCCTTGCCTGTCCTCTAATGATGGCAGCTTCTGGACCAGCCAGGCAAGGGTACCACATTTCCTCCTTAAAGCACAGCCCCTGGATCTCTTGGAATCTGCTTGAAGTTGCAATATGCCTGATGTTTGGAACAGCTGCCTATCTCCTACCAGGGATAAATGTAAGTTTGCACACTTGAGGCCAAACACCAACTGTATAATTGCAATTTGGGGAAGACGTGGCTTACCAGCAGCCTGTGTGGAAAAGGACTGAGCAGGTTTTGTTGATAACATGTACAGTGTGAGTCAACAGCGGCTAGCCACTGAAAATGCCACCGCAAAATCAGGCCATGCTATGAGTGTTTTACCGCCAGAGGAAAGAGAAGAGGTCCCGAACACAGTTATCACTGGAAAGTTGCAGCAGGCCTGGCTGCCATAATTTGTGAGATAGAGAAAAACTGCAGTGGGTTCAGGGAAAAGTGAATGGGATGGAGAGGGTTGCTCTGCCCACATCTGACAGGTCTTGGAACCAGGATTTGACATTTTGAGTGGCCAACCCTGAGCAATCAACGGACGGGAGGTGGCAGCTCTAGGGAAATGAATTTGACCAATATAAACTAAATAGTTGGGCCAGAGAAGATTTAAGGTCACTTTCGATTCTAAAAGTCTGTAACTGGGGAAGCCTCTTCTAAAGCCTGTTTACGTCACCACCACAAATTCTTGGGGGAAAAACACTTCTGATAAAAGGGAAACATGGCTTGTTTTTTGTAAAAAGCTTCTGGGTGATGGCTCTAGGGCATCTTTTTTCATTAAAAAGGTAAAATGATGGTGTTTGAGATTAAAATGGAAAATGGTGAGGCATGATCAGAAGGCTCTTTCACAGATGGAAATTTTAACTATTCACCCTCCTGTTACTGACTAAGGCCAGAGTGAAACAGCACTGGGGTAGAAGTTTAGAAGAGGGATCCGTGATCCCCAATTCACTGGGAAAGGTAAAATAAATCGTACAAGAGAAAACTGTGAATAAACAAGGTGTATCTTTATTGGTTTAGACACATCACTTCGACACATCAGCTAGTCTACACCTTGACAAATTCTGCAGAGCACGTGATAAGGATCCACTGGTTCTACTGCCCACCCCATTGTCCAAAGCCAGTCTGATTACACGAACTATACACCATGAAGGTCTTACAGACCACGTAGCACAGCCCCACCATTTCAGAGAGGAAGTACTGTTGCCCAGATAGGTGAACTGATGACCCAACAGACTTAGTGGTAGAGCTGGGAATGAAACTGAGGTCCTCTGATTCCTGATCCACTGTGTTTTCACCTTTACTGCCATCGTCCCCCCCATCCCCCATATAGTGAGTGCATCCCTCATCCATCAGTTGAGTAAATATGTTAATTACATATATGTGCCTGGCTCTGCACTAGGGATTCTAGAGCTCATAACGTGATCATGAGATCTCCATCCTGAGGTGCCCAAGGGCCACCTGGGGAGAGGCATTTCCACCAAACACTTGCATAATCTCCACTAATCAGATCCCTTCCAGATGCAAGGACTGTTTGAAAGAGCTGGGTCCCAGATCAGATGAGAATCTACCTGCTTTCAGGATATTCTCTAAAAGAAACATTCTCACCACTAGTTAACATATTTCATAAGTTCAAGACCTTCAGTGAAACCAAAACTCTGCTGGGCATTTAAAAATACACTTTATGATTGTATTTGCCTCTTTTTTCTTGCTTAACTTTTATTTTATATATTATCCTAAGAATACTTTTAATTCATATATTTTTTTCTCACCCTGCTCTATCTGAGGTGGCAGAAAGGACAAAGGACAGGTTGGTCAGGGGTCATGCCACTAGCCATCTGGGCAACACCAGGGAAATCTCCCAGCCCTCCTAAGCCTCAAAGATTCATTTGAAACAATAGATAAAACTACTTGTTCTGCCTGCTTCACAGGTTTGTTGTAAAGATCAAGTAAAATCACGTATGTGAAAGTACCCTGAACGGTATAAAGCAGCGTGCCAATGTAAAGTATTAAACTCTGCCCTATTCCCTTGTTTCTCTGAAGTGATATTCAGTGTTTGGCCTGCGCCTGCTGGTGGAAAGTACTTAAAATGGGGTCACTGCCCCCCTAAGCACGTTCAAGGAAGCACTGCCAGTACTTTTTCTTTAAAAATAAGGAAGTGATCCTGTCTTTGGAGCAGGTGATAGAAAACGGTTGCTATGTGCCATCTCCTTCGCTCAGGTTCACCTTGCCAAGTGCCTGGCAATTTCAGTTCAGTTCAGTTCAGGAACTGAGGGGCCCCCAGAGAACTGCACTGAATTGAAGCTTCCTGTAGTATTCAGGTGCCTTCTGTGCTGTTTTCCTCACCTGTAGGATTGAGCTAATACGTCTTCACCTCATAGGGTTGTTGTAAAGATTAAGTGAGTTAATTATGAAACCAAGCCTGGAACAAAATAAATGTTCCATAAGGGTTAGCCAGTGTTACGATTTTTTTTTTTTAAATTGAGCGTCCACTTTGGGCCCGCATAGTGCTAACCTCCTGGAATACACAGGAGACCCTCTTTCTGCTCCTGCAGGGGTAAAGTTCCATCACTGGAGGCCAAGGTTAGGAGGTGTAGTGAGTTCACATTTCCCTCCTCCCCCAGACGTTTTTCTCCGCTAAGAATGCCCCCTTAGCCACCTCCCTGAGCAGCGGTTATTCCGAGCTCATCGTCTGGGAGTGAGATCCCACTTAGCCTTTACCAGGAGCCGGATTCTGGCTCTGGCCTCAGATCCTATGGCATCTGCATACCTCATCGGTGAACGGGTTTCAAGTCCAACGGAAGTTGGAAACTTGGGGGAGCCCCGGGTGACGAAGAAAGGATTTGAGTAG